AAAAAAAAAAAAAAAAAAAAAAAAAGGCAGTGTAACAAGGTAGGTGCTACGAGGGCCACAATACAAACAGCTTAGCACCCATGGTCCTGTACAGAACTGCTCTGTGAAGTTCCCTGCCTGACTTCTGGTCTTCCTAGTATATCAGGTTCCTGATATATTTCTCATGAGATATGGAATGCCTCTTTTGACATTGGGATAATTAAGCAAGATAAATATATTGGAAAAATAAAAGCATTTAGTATTACATTTCTAGTCTCAGTTCTTTTTCTGAGAAGTAGATACCTATATCAAACTGCTGATTGCTGCTGTCCTCGCAGTGATGTATGAATGCTGCTATATTTAACCAGAGCATTCTGGGTTCTTAGGTGCATGGCACAGGGCCACGTGAACAAGGATGAACAGTGCCATCTGTAAATACATGTTTAGGTTTATGCAGATGTGTACACAGAGAAATAGGAGAAAAGAAGAAATAGTTTCTCTTCAATTTGAGGATTTGAAAGGTTTGTCCTTAATTTAGTGTAAAAATTAAACTTTTTNCCCCCCCAGCACCCAGAATGTAAACAGTTTTATTATTTTTTTACACTCAACCAAAATGCCAAATGACATTCATGACACCATTATTCTTAAACCATAAAAACATAAGATTATTGTTGTTATTCTTTTTTGTTTGTTTCTGTTAACTTTTAATTTTGAAATCATGACAGATGCATAGGAAGTTGCAATGATAGTACCCTTCACCCAGTTTCCCCCAATCTTCTGTAACTATAGTACCATATAAAACTCAACAAATTGACTTTGTCATGTGTGGTACAGTTGTACGTCATTTTATCACGTGTGTAGAATTGTGTAAACACCACCACAATCACATACAGAAATATTCCATGATCATGAAGATCTAACCTCTTGCCCCTTTATCGCCATACCCACTCCCTACCATCTCTAACCCTTGCCAACCACTAATCTGTTTTCCTTCTAATTTTGTCATCTCAAGAATGTAATATAAATGGAATCATACAGTATACGACCTTTTGAAAATGTCTTTTTTGGGCCGGCCCGGTGGCGCACTGGAGAGTGCGCCGCTTGGGAGTGCAGCGGCGCTCCC